AACCGCGCTCCAATGACGTTTTTCCAATGAAAGCGGTCGCAACGTTGCGATCGATAATAGCCAAGTATAGAACGATATACTGCCGCCTGGTTATCCATTTTTTTCATTTGGCTCCGCATTTTTTTGTATTTTCATGTTTCGCTTTGTTGTGTCGTGCATGTTTTCATGATTTCCCCGTCACCATTCATTGAATGCACATCTGGGGCCTGACACGCTGATGGGGCTATTTTTTCACCAATTTAGCTTATCAATGATCACCATTAGTCGCTGTTTCGATTGTGTTCCTTGTTACAAGTTGCATGTCATACATGGTTGTCGAACGACGAGTTTTATTTTGAATCCTAAGACAAAATTGTAGGCTGTTGTTCAGCCTCATATTGCATGAGGCTGAAACAGCCTATTATTGCCTGGATTTTAGAGCAGAGTCCGCCTTTCGAAAATCCAGATTCCATTTCAGGAAGCCATTTGTGGTGAACATGCATCTGGTTGTCAGTTAGAGCAGGAGGGGGGGGGGTCGTAACTGGACCGGTGGGGGGTCATACTCACACCGCCATTTCGCACACCCCCATGCTGTACCCTGGGCGTAAAATAAATGCACACGGTAATGTTTAGGCTCCTCTAGCACATTCTTCCACATTCACTCATCAGTCATTCTCAACAGTGATCAAAATTCTGAGAGCAAAAAAAAATGTCTGAGCGCATAAAGTGTGCCCCGTTATTCAGGTTTTTAGTTCTTGGTTTTCCAGGAGTTCCCTGTTTCAGGCGAGCTACATACCACCCTCACCCCCTCCCGCTCGACATCTTTACATGCGCACAGTACACACGTGCATGTAGTGTAAAGCCTCTACCACCTCCATTGATCGAAAGCCACAGCTTTCCTTATCAGCCCCTATCAGTTGTTATTACGTTCTGTCACCTACCGTCGACGTCCCCACCTCCCCCTCTCTAGCACTTGCTAGAATAAACGGCCAGCTAATACAGTGTTCCGCATAATGAATATGATGAGCACCTCATTCAAATTCCCCTTATCAAATCGTATCAGCTGATATCACCTCCTGTCACCCACCAATAATGCTCCTGCACCACATCCGGTATCATACCTTCCAACTTACTGCCCGTGATTGCTGTGACCCGCGCTATGGATTCCATGGCCCTCCCCTTCTGAGGCCTCTTATCAGATCTTATCAGATAGGTGCGACGAGACATTATTGG